TAATTAATGAGACTTATAACACAAGTTACAAAATCCTTATATATAGTTGTGTGGACCTTATTAGATTGATAGTCCTTTTCTCTTTGTACGGAGTAGAAAGTGAACAACTCTCAATTCGTTTTGTGGGATCTGATTGGGTTCCCTTTCTTGCTTGAGCATTTGTGGTGAGTTTTCTCCATGCACTATTGCATTTATGCGCGTGTGCGTGTTCAATGCGTGTGTAAACAAGCATATGAGGATAGAGATGAGAAAGGGGGAGTTCCTTCCTTTAGTCTTGCAATTGAAGCAAATTTATGGGATATATATGTTTTTGAGTTGTGATTGTTTGAAACATAAGGCATCCAACTAAATAGGGACTCATTTCCTAGAGTAACCCATCACCTAAAAATTAAAGGAAAACCAGTAAAGCTGTTTTAAAAGCTAATTTGAAATCTTGTTTCCTTGAGACAGCGATGGATGATCATTTTAATCTTGAAGTGGAAAGAAAGAGTTAATGGAAGAAGACTTTTCCATGTATTATTGTGATTGGGCCAATTGAAAAGTCTGTGGGACTAACAATGTGGTTTAGTTAACGATAAGAGAGAAGAGTTAAATGGATGAATAACAAAATTTTCTTTTTCCTTCTGATTGTTTACAGAGAATTGCAACACCATCCTGCTGATATACATGGCCAATAAGCAATGAGCAAGAAGAAAGGAAAAAAAAAAAAAAAAAAAAAAAAAGGAAAACTGAAAGCAAATCTTATTCTGCACTTCTGCCCCACACTCAAGAAAAAAAGAGGTAATAATATGACAAGAACAAGATGTTTTTGCTCACAAATGCTCAAAAGCAGAGGTGATGATTTCTTGTATCAGACCTATATACAAGAAAAGAAAGGAAAAAAATTATGTGACACACACCTGATATAAGACGCCGCATTGTTCAAGCCCCTGTCTCTTCATGAATGGAAAGCTAAATATGCCCACTTTCTGGACACATCAGAATTGTGTAAGGACTCCTCTTGTTGTTGGTTTTAAGGCCACATGGTGGTTGAACTATGAGGCAAGAAATGTGTTTCTGTTTTTATCTCATTGTATAAAGACTGTGGAGTCTGATTTTGTAAAGCGGCAGCCATTAGTAAAGGGTTATTGAGGTATTCAGGCCACTTTACTTCTTCAGGTTGGCTTTCCATGAGATGAATTTGGGCATCTTTGTCTGATGTGCTGCAATCAACCAACCCCCAAGAGAAGCCGCTGTTTTCGAAGAAGGAGCTGTTGCTTTGTAACTCTCTGCTGCTGCTACCACTGCTGCTGTTGGAGGCAGCACTGGCTTCCCAGTAGCAGGATCCAGTGGTTGCAAAAGAAGGCATTGAAGGATTTTCAGAAGGAACGGTGATAGAAGGCTTGAAACCCATAGGAGCAGCAGAAGTGAACGAGCTTGTCAAAGAGGGGAGGACGGTACATATTGCATTGGAAGAGAATTCAATTGATCCTGCTAATGCACCTTGAGGAAACCAGAGATTGGAGCTTGAGGTTGTTGTTGGGAGTCTGGCACCGGATGAGTAATTCAATTGGGGAATAGGAAGATGCCCTACAAACTCTGATTGCTGGGCGTTGGAGGCTGTGGTAGCAAATCTATCCAGAAAGAAGTCATTTGCAGTTGAGGACGCTATTAAGTTATTGTTGCCACTATTCATAGCCTTGGTGCTTGAAGAACACTCCATTCCTGTCTGATAGCCGTGTGCAGAAACTGAGGTATGTTGTTGCTGTTGTAAAGCTGGGCCGGGTTTAGGATTCTCAGCATTGAGGTTCAATTCACTGGATGACCCAGAATTCTTGTTTCTGCTGTTGGTTTGTTGATCCATCTCTTCTCCATTCTCAACCTCCGAAAGGGGTTTGTGGGTGACAGGGTCAATCCCTCTCTGCCTGAGCTTTTTCTTCAAGCAAGAGTTCCATAGATTTTTAATTTCATTGTCAGTTCTTCCAGGCAATTGGACTGCAATTTGGGACCACCTGAGGAAATAGCACAAACACCAAGAATGCTTACTGAATTTCCTCTGTACTGTGAATAAAACCAACAGGAAGAAGTTCTAGTTCAAGATAAAAGGTCAGCAAGAGAAAAGGAGGATACCTATTTCCCAGAACGCCATGAAGTTCAATTATGAGGTCTTCTTCCTCCTGTGAGAATGTGCCTCTCTTCAAATCAGGCCTCAAGTAATTAATCCACCTCAATCTGCAGCTCTTCCCACACCTCTGTAGACCTGCCAATTCATATCTTTTTGAGATAAAAACTGAAATACAAATCATTTCTCTCCCAATCCTTTTTACCCCTTTTACAAGCAGAAGGTAATAATTAAGTTATGAAGTTTACCTGCTTGCTTAGGAACAGAGCTCCAGCATCCATGGCCATACTTGGTGATATGCCTGAGAAGCTTCTCATCCTCTTCAGGTGACCACAGGCCTTTCCTTAGTTTCTGCTTGTAACAGCAAGAATGCCTCCCCATCTGAAGCAGGGAACCAATTACAGCGAGAAAAAAAAATACCTTTCTTGAAACAACAAGCTTTGCTGAATCCTAGGAGATACTGTCAGCAATGAGCAGAAGCTATGGAGATGATTCAGCAGAAAAAGGTGAAAAGAGATGGAGAGAATTTTGGTGGGCAGACTAGAAAATGAAGTAGCAGCTGAGAAAGGGAGTTGAATGAATATAAAGAGGATGATGCTCCCCTCCCCCACAGAGAAAAGTCACATTCGATGAGGTGTGATATAATTTCTCCCTCTCTCTTACTCTTCTCTCCCCTTTTTCTCATTTTAAAAGCTCTTTCTTTTAAAAAAAAACATTTTATGCATTTCCTCTCTCTCCCCTATATTGACTAGGGATGGAGATTGGATTAATCTTCTGAGTAGCATGTGTCTCATCAAAGTTCTGAGAATTAATGTCTTTTGCAGTATTGGTGGGGGCATTTTCACTGATTTTACACTCCGAGCAAAACAGAAGCTTGATAACAACCCACGCTTGTAACTCAAGTCAGTGAATTTCCAATATAGGAAAATAAAATTAATAGAGAGACCATTTTCAAACAATATGACCTACTTCTTAAAAAAGTTACTAATTAGTGAACTGTCACATAAGTTTGTGTATGGAAAGCCCAATGGTAGATAGATTTGTCGGTAACATTTCGAACTGATGAAAACAATAGGGTCGATAAAGGATGGACTCAAATTCTATTGAAAACAACAGGTGCTTAAATTAATTAGAATTTTGGTTTTGTTTATGCAGAGCAACTTTTGCGTGTCAATGGAAACACCATCCAATTCTCTTGTTTATTCTTTATGATCTTTTTGGGCAATTTCTTCCAAATCATAATCACTTTGAAAAGTTTTTTTTTTTTTGATAAATATCACTTTGAAAAGTTTTGATCATTACGCGGAAAGAACACATTTTGCTTTGGACATTTTCTTTGAAAATTAAGAAATTGTTCCCTTATTTCTGATGAATTTCACTCTGTCTTCCAATTTCCTTCAAATCCAACCTCATTTCCTCTTTCACATGGAATCCATATTTTTTCCTTTTTGTGAGTTCTAGATGAATGTTACTTTTCCAACACGGCAATGACCAAATTTAAGAAACTAATTAAAAGTCATGTTGTCAATATAAACTACCTACATTTGAAGGGTATTTATTAAATCAGTGAACGGTATATATATATATATTTTTTTGTTAAGTAATTTTGGTGCTAGAAAATGCAATCCATTTTCCCTCCTCTAGAATCCCTCTTGAAAGGCAGAATCCCAACAAATCCTTCACAGCATTATTGGAGAGGCGACAGAAGTCACAGAACGGAATTCATTACAAACCAGAATTGATTAATGCTCCTTTATAGGACTAGACAAGACCATCCATTACTTGTACAAGTTTCTAACAAATAAAATTGATACAAGTTAAAATGATGCCATTCAGTGATTAAAAGACATATCACGAACATCAGTATCAAAAATATTAAATTATGATCCAAGAGTTTATTCAAATGCAAGCTATATGTATACATATTTTTTAAAAGTAATAAAAAACTAGAAGCCATTTTCTGCAATACAACATATTTTAAAGTCAATTAGACAAAAGCTGAATAAAAATAAAATAGTACAAGAGATTCTGTTTAAGCAGTAATTAAATATAATTTTAGTTAATGATTAGAAGCGTACAGAGGTTATGATAATTCAAATAATTCGGTGAAACTGAATATTGAATTCATAATATGAAGATTAAACTAAGAACACATGGAATATTACATTAATTAAGCAATGCAAAGCCAAATTCTTGTGGGGTTTAATCTCTGCAATCCTTGCTGTTTCTACCTTTTTGTAACGGCACCTTTCTTTAGCAGTCTGGACAGGGGATGAGATTAATGAATTAATTTGTAAGAGACTATGATTTAATTAATTAATTGAAGTGAACCATTGAAATTCATCACATTATTTCAAATCATGAGCTGTCCTTGCCATGGCCCCCATTGAAAATAAGAAGCTTTTAAAGAGGAATCTTGGATTAAACATTATTAAGGGTTTTTTTTTTTTTTTTTGGGCAGGCGACAGGCAGCATCTAATTTAATTGAACCCCTAGTAAGTATTTGATTGAAAATTCTTATTGCTTGAAATCATGAGGAGGAGTTTCAGATTCGAATTTTGATGATTTCGACAATATTTTATGTGTGTCAAGACGAGATGGAGGGTTTTGGATGCATTAGTGGAAACTGATGGAACTACATATTACTATACAACAAATTGTATGTGGTTCTGTAAGGATAACAGATCTCTACGCCATCTTTCTGGGGGCCTACTCTCTCAAATTATGCAGAGAAGCCTACACCAGAAGATGATTATGTGATTAATTGTTTTTGTATATATTTATCTCCATAGCCCTTGTTAATTCGCTATGTTACCCAATTTCTTTCTTCTTTTTCCTTTGTTAATTAATTCATGAATTAATTAAATTAAATTTGTATACAATATGATTTGAATTTGATGTCTCAAAATTGTAAGAAACCTCTACTCTCACCATTATGCTATGATTTCATTAGCTCTTTTACTTCTTCTTCTTCTTCTCTCTCCCTTTTTTTTTAATAATATTTTCAGGATATTGTGTTTGAGATTTGTACATCTCTCTTTTTTGTTTGACTTTGCAAACTCAGAAGTCAAATGAAATTAGGAAGTGTGTGTGCACAAAATAGGACGTGGAGAGGGACCCTAACTACAACACAATGGAAAGGTCATTTTCCACCGACACAATACGCACTATTGTTGTATCATACGATGTAGATCCATATATTTGCCTTATCCCAATTAGTAATTTTTTTGCACACTCACATGTGAATCTCTAACGCAGAAAAAAAAAATCAAATTAAACTACTCCTTTTTTCCTATCAGTATGGATTATATAGAGGAAATATATAGGCTGTGCTTCTAAGTGCATCCTATATTGATATATATATATATATACACACACATATAGAGATTCCTTTGTATTCAAATCTAGATATAGGTTTCTACATCAAAAAATCTAGATATATATTTTTTAATTGAAGTAGACTAAGCAGGAAAAGGAATTGTGTCTAAAAACAATGGTCGAAAAGCAAATATTCCATTAGGAGCATTGTATGCAAACAGACAATCAAGGCAATCAAAGGGCATCTCAACTCTCTCTCTCTCTCTCTCTCTCTTAAAAATATTAGGGAAATTAGGAAAATGGAGAAATTTTCTTGAATATTATTTTCTTTTGGTATTATTTTTTTTTATCTAAATTGCTATACGTATAATTTTTTTCTTACAATATTTAGTATAATATTAATGAATCAATATATATACATATTTGTTCATGTAATATCATCTAATAAAAATATTGTTACAATGTCCTTTTTATTGTTATTAAGCACTAGTGGTGTCATAGTTAAATTTATCCCTTTTTTAATTTTTAATTTTTATTTTATTTTGAGTTGTATAATAGAAGGCATCAATTTTTCTTCTTTTAACACACCACACTTGCATGCCAATGACTTGAACTCAAGGTCTTTTACTTTTATTAAAAGGCGATTACTTATGAGTTATTCGGATCATTGATAATTAAATTTGTCTTCTTATAGTTCCATTATATGGGGTTCTCTTGACCTTGTCAATGTTTTATGGGGTTCATAGAGCCAATTAATAGGATCATAGAAATTATTGAGTTTAATTAATTAATTAAATAAAGCTTTGATATTCATTTTTCTAACCTCCATGTCCTCATCATTCACTCGTGGTCTTATAATATGCCAGCACATGAGCTGTTTATTTTAGTCAACCATTTTTCCTCTTCATTTAGGCTATAGGAAAAAAAAATTAAAATTTATAAAAATAATCATTTTGGTCTCTCAAATGTAAAAATAATCACCATAATCCTCAAAATTTTGTAAAATAGCAAGGCTAATCATCATCCTTTCGTTGACGTCCACACAAGCATATGTCTAATTGTTTTTTCAAAATAGACTTAAATTTCCAATCAGTTGAGTTTGCTTGCATCTCAGAAACTTCAACATAGCAATCAAGCATCATATGTTAAGAAGTAATTACATTTATCATCATATTGCTTTCTTATTACAAAACAATAATAAAAAACGAAATTCATCACTACACAATAATTTCAAATATAGCCTAAATGAAAATTTTTGGTGCTCTGATAAGTTCCTTAACATAGTTCAATTTGAACTCTGAATGTTAGATTCATGGAAAAACAAGTGTTATCTTATATATCATGTTAAAATTCAAGTTTTAATATCAATATTTTAAAAAATTAATTTTATTGAATGCACAAAACTGATATGTAAAAGTGTCCTTAAGATCATGAAAAGAATTAGTCTTTAAATATGCAAAAACTAATCTAAAAATACCATAACAGTCCAAAAAAGAACACACGCAGAGCCAACCCTCAAAATTCCAAATGCGAAATTTAAAAGCTTCCCAATTTCAACCTTCTGTTATTTGGAGGCCATAAAAAGTTCCATGTTCATCCCCTTTAATGGGGGGAAAAAGAAAGATAATGTCTTTCGGATATTTGGTAGGGTCTATGCATGTATCATATGTGATATTAGTCCAATTAATCCCCACAAGAGGGTCCATGCCCTTAATCATTGTGCCCAATGTCCATTTAAGGTTCAAAATTCATGCCAAAAACTCAAAGTCCCACTTTCGTGCGGAGCAAAATTTTGCCAATATAGCAGTAAACCATAAAACCTCAACCATTCTTATTTCTCACTTCATTTTTGTTTGGTTTGCATCTTATCAAAAAACTTTGTCAAATAATATGTTTTTACAGCATAAATAACACCTAATATCTTTGAACTATTAAAGAAAAAATGTTGGAAATCCACAACCCCTTTTCATTTTTCCTTTTCTTTTTTTTCCCCCCAAATTTCACAATCTCATCTCTTAACTCTACATTTTGATTTGGGTTTTTCAGAAAAAGGGCTATATCTTAGGATATGTCACATTTCTCTTCTACCTCAAGTACATGACACCAAAAACCCTAAAAAGGCAATGATAAATGGGTAAGTTGGGGATACATAATGATTCATGAACAAGGCATCTAATCCAAGCCCTTCATTTCAGGCCCATCTGATGGGGCCCAACTCA